ATATAAAAACATCAATGGTTGTAATGGTTGTAATGGTTGAATACGAGCTTTGATTCAACACTCCTCCCTTTGGTATCATTGAAAATTCAGTTCAATTCAAAAATTCAATTTAAAAAATGTATTCATTTCGTTTCAGAATAAAAAACAAAGAAAACTTTGTTACAATAATACACAAATTATATCTTAAGGAAAAAAACAAAATGAAAGGCAGCAGAAGAAAAAAATCTTATGTCTGCTCCTTTTGTTCTCAAATATGTTTTCACTTTAAAGTGTGATTTACAAATAAACAATACTAATTAAGATAAAAAACATTAATAAAAAACATTAAATGAAACAGCAAATCCTATCAATACTAATTAAAGTTATGAAATAAAAATCTATCAAATAAAACAATACGTCCTATCAATTCAAATTATACTTGTTCATATCCCTTCAAAAAGCTGGCTTTAATATGTTTTTTAAATATGTTCAGAGATCTTACATTCTTAAGCTCATCCTCCAAACCATTCCATAAACCTATGCTTTGAATTGAGGTACACCTCTCTTTCAGACAGGTTTGAATCCATGGCTTCACAAACATTTCTATCCCCTTCAGATTGTAACAACTGTATCTCTTGACAAAATTAGCTTGAAGATTGGGTGGTAATGTGTTTTTGTGGGCCTTATACATAAATATTAAAATGTTGTAATYGACCAAATCATAGTTCATTTAGCTTTTGAGTAGTCTTTTGTTATTTTTAACATTAGTGTTTACTGCTAATAGCTAGCCTTTTGCTAATCTTAGCTTTTRGCTAAGGTTTTCTCCTTGTGTCATCGTGAACTTCTACAGTGGTTGTGGTGTTTAGATATGAAAAATAAACAGAGCACTAAATGCATCTAAATCCTGCCTAGTGCTAATGCAAAAACAAAAGTCTAACAAAAGCTTGAATGATCTGTTTTTATCAGTACAGCTTGACTGTTTTTAAAAGCTGTTAGGAGAATTTTTCCTCAGCTTTATTTAAAAGAGACAAGATGATAAAATCATGAGGCGGCACCATAAGCCTACTGACTGAAATCCTGGCAGTCTTTCCCCATGTAGTTCAGCTCACTGAGCCTGGTAATTAAGTGACAAAAGATACAAATCATCAGAAGCAAGAAAAAAAAAGAAGAAAAAAAAAAAGACGTTTCTCCCACAGTTATGATCAAACATAGATTAAGGTCCAACTTGTTTAGTTAAAATGCAGCGGAATAAATAACAGTAAAATTTGATTCAGTTTGTTTTTGTTTTGTTGAGGAAGTTCATTTCTCATTCTCCAAACGGAGGCGCAGCATGAAAAGCTTGAGAAGAACTGCTATCAAATAAACTCAAGAAACAAAATAAAAAGACAAGGAGCGGGCCTAAGACGAACCAGAGCAGAGGAATTTGTTGGCCTCRGTGCTCTTCATGGTCCCCTTCTCTTGAAGCTGCAGCACGGCCGTTCGGAAGATCCTCTTGATCTCCTCTGACGTGTTCCTCCAGGCCTTGTCGTTCTTGGTTTTTGCTGCGCTGCTTGACTCCATCTGAGCCAGACAGAAAAAGACAGACTGACTGGAATCACTTGTGTCTGTTCACCGTCGTTACATATTGTACCTACTGTAGCTTTTATCAGAATTTAATGGATCTGTTTGATTTTGTTTAGTTTGAGACAATTTTACACWTTTAAATTTTCAYTTCTGCATTTTTGAAAGTTTTTTCAGGTCCATWTCTATGTTCCCCAGTACGTTTCAGGGTACTTGTGTTTCTCAGTATATGCTCCTGTTCCCTATGTTCTCCAGTAATTTAATTCCCTGGTATATGTTCTCCAGTACTTTAGTTCCCTGGTGCCTATGTTCYCGGCAAGTACATTTCCTGGTACCTACATTCAGCGGCAACTACCTTTCCTGGCACCTATGGTTTTGAGTACCTATGTTCTCCAGTACTTCTGTTCTCCTGGGGTTAATAATTAAAGTCAGGAATGCTGCTTGGTTCGCCCTTCAATTGTTTTTAAAACTAATAAAAAAACTAAATTACAGTGCAGGCATTGTACTGGAGAAAATAGGTACTGAGGAACATAGTGATGGGTGGATCAGGGGGAACATAGAGATCTGGGGACCAAAGTGATGTGTGGACCAGGGGAACTTAGGGATCTATGGAACAAATTGATGGGTGGAGCAGGGGAACATAGCGATCTAGGGAACAAATTGATGGGTGGACCAGGGGAACATAGCGATGTAGGGAACAAATTGATGGGTGGACCAGGGGAACATAGCGATCTAGGGAACAAAGTGATGTATGGACCAGGGGAACATAAGGATCTAGGGAACCAAGTGATGGGTGGACCAGGGGAACATAGGGATCT